TTCATTTAAGCGTACGCCTTTTTCGCGGTTTATTTTCTCAAACATTCCGCGACCCTTTGTTGTCGTTGGTACACATTATTGCAATGCTTATTCACATTTTTACATATAAAACTTATTTATTTATCTTTTCGAAAATTCTGAAATGTATACAGCTATCACTAAAACGGACGTTGGTCATTTTTANATACAGCTATCACTAAAACGGACGTTGGTCATTTTTAATCGTCATTAAACATTTTGAAATCAAAACACAAAGTATGTAAATTCATATTAATCCAATTATTTAGAATTAATTATCTGAGTAAAAAGCATTGAAGCAATAGATTGATTTAAAAATCGTTTGATTTACTTATTAATAACTAGTAAGTGCTTAGCCATATACTTCGATTGGGTGTCAGAGAGAAGGCCTCCGCCACTTCAAGAATACCTCAGTATTCCCACTAAAGCACATACTAGTTAATTTAACGCTTCCACTAGGTGTCAGATAGGAGGCCGAGAACCCGGCTACTAAGAAGAGTTGTAGAGTCCGATAATCCTATACCCTCGGACTCTACACCTCGATAGAACCTCATTGTTCACAAATTGACCAAATCCCCAGATATCCTAACTTGGTGAATATACCCATATACATCCCCCTTCATATATGCTAATATTTATTACTACACAATTGTGACCAAAGAGCGATGAAAAGTCTTGTATATAACCTAAATATTTTACAAATTAATGAAAAATCAATAATTATTTAATTTACTCGATTAATTAATTAATCTTCTTGTTTTTCTTCGCCTTTATCTCAACTACTTAAGATCGGCCACCCTTATTCTAAACTACCACTTGACACGACCTCTCATATCATCTACGCACACATCAGCCGTTCTCATATCGCATTCAATGACATCCTTCCATCACTTTTTTGGTCTTTTTCTATTTCTTCTTCCTTCAACATTCATTTCTATAACTGTTCTAACAGATTTTGATTCTTCTCTTCTCATAACATGACCAAACCATCTAAGTCTATTTTCTCTCATCTTATCTACTATTGACGCTACACCTATACTTCCTCTTATATGATCATTCCTTTTCCTATCTTCTCTAGTCACTCCACTCATTCATCTAGGCATTCTCATCTCTGCTTCACTTATTCTCTGCTCTATTTCTCTCGTCAACAGCCCAACACACTGAACCATACATCATAGCCGGTCTTATGGAACCTACATTTCAGCATCATTGGAATTGTCTTATAGCATAACAGACCAGACGCTTCTCTCTACTTCAACCACTCGACTTTAATCCTGTGTCATACATCCTTTTCAATACCACCGCTCTTTTGCACAACTGATCTTAAAAACTAAAAACTTTCCACCTCTCCTATCACGTCCTCGCGTATTGTCACTGAACTCCTCATTTCATCTAACTCGTGTTCTCCTTTGTCAAATTCGTACTCTATATACTTTGTCTTATCCCTACTTATTTTTAAATCCTCTTCTTCAAGAGCTGACCTTTTATTAATTTCCTCCCTATTTTTTCCTATTAACACTATAACTTCAGCAAACAACAAGCTCCACGGCAACTCTCATTGAATTTTTCTAGTAATTTCTATAGAATATAAGTAAGGCCTTAAAGCAGAACTTTGGTGCACTCCTACACTTACCCTAAAACCTTCGTTACTCCTCCTACATTTTTACCCTAGTACAAGTGCCATCATACATATCCTCTATTATATTAATGTACCTTTTCGGGAATACTTTTCTCATTAATGCCCACATTAAAACCTCTCTCGCTACTCTATCATACGCTTTCTCTAAATCTATAAATACCATACACTACTATTACTTCTTTTCCCTAAACTTTTCTATTAGATCCTTTACACAAAATAATGGCTCCATTCATGGCTTACCACGGATAAATCCAAACTGGTTTTTAGATACCGATGTATCATTTCTTATTCTCTTATCTATTAACGTTTTCCAAATTTTCATACTATGACTCATAAGCTTTATGCCTCTATAATTTCCAAACTCCTGTATGGTTACTTTACCTTTGAATATCGGCAACACAATACTATTCCTCCATTCATTTGGTATTTTACCTTCTAATAACATTTTATTTAAAAGAATCTTATGCCAACATCGCCTAATATTTTCCATACTTCTACTGGCACTTCATCCGGTCCTACTGTTTTATTCTTTTTCATTGATAGCACAGCCTCCCTTAACCCAACCTATTTCTAACTAATTAAATCTACCAGTCCCTCAATCCACGAGATATCCTCTAACGTCTCTTTTTTTCAAAATACTCTTTCCACCTTTTTTTCACTTGATCATCACTCAATAGTACCCTAATATCAACACTTTTTATACACCTTACATAGCGATAATCGTTAGACCTTTTTTTATTATTTTTGCGAGTCTATAGACTTCTTTCTCACCTTCCTTTGTTCCTAGCCTATCATCAAACCTCTTAAACTTTGCCTTACTTTCTGCACATTTGGCTTCTTCGTACAAGCGTTTAAACTCCATCCAATCTTCTCTCCTTTTGCTCTTCTGCCATACTTTGAATTGCTTTTTCTTACTTTCTATGATTTTTTGAAGGTACTCATCCCACTAACAGATTTTCTTGATTCCTGACATTCTACTCCTATTCTCACTGACACGGTCACGGCGTTGTTACCCGTTTGACATCCCGCGGTCGTGTCAGCTCCTTCTAAACCACCACTCCACTATAAACCGGACCGTGACACACACGCGTTATCGTAGTGGTATAAAGTCCAATAAATGCCTAGCGTCGAATAACTGCTGCAACAAAGCGTTAGTTAATCATCTTCGTTACACCAAAAGCGATCCGTCGTCCGTCTACTTTGAACACCGCCCTATCTTCGATTTCTCACCTCAAGTTGTCAACTTCTTTTAGTGAAAAGTTATTATAGATTGTTTCACTGTCACCTTTATTTTTTTGGTTTCATGTTTTTCATATTGTATATTTTATACTAATATCACAAAATATTTTGGGTATAACTTTTTGTAGTTGAAATGTTATAATATAGTTATAAGACAGTTCAGTAGTAAGAGTGTAGGTCAGTTTCCTTATTTACTTAACACTTTATATACATACAATGGTTAAAACATACATTTTAGTAGGCATAGTTGGCCTGAGATGTAAGTATATATATATATTTAATAATGGATGATGATAGTTTTATCGATAATATCGATACGTGATTAAATTAAATATAAATTTGCATGTTAGGACAATTTCATGAATTCATGACAGTCATGTTTTCTTCCCTAATTTTATTCTTTATTGTTGGTACATAATTAATTTGAGTATTTAGTATTATCTTTGGGGCATTTAAATTAAGTATACATAATTTTAAACCAGTTGATACTTAGTATATCTGCTAATTTTTTCTGATAATGAACACTTAAATATTGATTATTGAACACTATGTTCAACATACATTAATCATGTTCCATTATTTTATTTAGAAAATACAGTGGCCATTCCGAAAACTGAATGTTTATAGACATCTAATTGTATATCATTGTGATAAATCACAATTCAATATCTTACAATTATGTAGGCTAAATGATGAATTTAATATAATACATACTAATATAAGATACCCAACCCAGCCTATTAATCAAAAGTGACGTTAATGTAATTATTTTAAGATTTAAAAAATAATTCATTAAATAAACCACAGTAATTTTAAAAAACTTTGTATTTATTTAAATCTATTAAAAAAGTCCAATTAGTTTAAAACTGTCTTACGATAATGAAATATTACAGTTAAAAACATCTTTTATCATATATTACTATGTCATTAAAATTTAAAAATGACATTTATTGAAAAAATTGTTGTTTACTTTAGCATATTAAACATAAATAAATTGGTATTAAAAAGTTCTGTAAAGCTAAATTATTTTTTGCATAAAAACCAAAAATTTGGTATTTTTAATACATTAATAACTAGTTCACTATTTTAAATAATTATATTTGAACCGAAAATATTAAAAGATGATTTATAAAATTAATATATTATTGTTTGCATGTTGCATTTTTTCCGCTTTTTCTGTTCCGATTGACAATAAACATAAACGATTGAAAATTGACGATTCTCAAAAAGAACCTGAAGAAAAACTAACCAATGATGAAGATAATGATGAAGATAATTATGAAGAATTTTATGAAGACTATGATAAAATACCACACAATATTGATGATATGATTGAATTTGATGATAATGGAATACCGGTAATTTATTAATAAAAAAATTTTTTTAGTCAATTTTTATTTGGTAATTTGTTAAATAAAATCATTATATTAGTCAATTTTTATTTGGTAATTTGTTAAATAAAATCATTATATTAGTTAAAAAAGAAAAAAAACTAACGTTACATTATTATTAAGTTAAGACAATATTTTTTTTTAATTACCCTAGTTGAAATTCTTAAGAATTTTAATAACTCTTATCATTATCAAAAGCCAACTCTTTTTAAAATATTAAATTTACATATTTATCAAATAAAATAAAATTTCAGAAATTATACAAGAAGTATTCTTCTAAATATTTTAGGCGAGTTTTAAGTATGTAGACGACACGCTGCCCTGCGACCCGCACCATCTTTATCAGTCGTTACCCAACTATGTGTAATTGGTAGTTTGACTGACCAACATCGCTTGTTACACGTGACTGTACAAAATCCAGTAAGTGCCGTCGCACAGCCGACGAGGACCTTACACAAATGACACGTCGAACCCGCGCGCATCGCTATCAACGCTGCTAACTTTTTGATGACCGACCATTTAGTCGAGTCATGGGAAAAAACATCCAATTTCATCTTAACTTTTCCAATGTAGAAAAATTTTAATATTGAATAAACTAACAAATATTTTAATTAATTGTTATTTTTAAGTTTTTTTTATGAAATTAAAAGATATTATAATAATTTGGAATAAATGAAATATATTTTTAACCCAAAAAGTTCTATAATTTTTTTAGCTAATTGACCAAAGATTATTGAATAATGTGTTAAGTTTTAGTGGTTTTTTCTTTTTATTATAATTAGTGCCCGAATTGAAATATTTTAAAAAGTAGTAACAAACATACAATCACTGTATACATTTAAACTTCGATGCGAAACTGTGAAGATATTGATATTACAATGATGTGTTAAGTTTTTTTATGTCTATCCATGAAATTCTCAGATCATTCTCACTTGACAGATTTATGCATCAAAAGAACCCGATTTTAATCTTGTTTGAACCTAACAGTACTGAAAATTTGAAAAATTCCCTCAATTTTAAAAATATCTGAAACTTACGCTAACGTAAAAATTGGCATTTTAATACATTTTTTCTAAATATTAAAACTGCTATTCATTTTTTTTTTTTAAATTACTGATTCAAAGGAAATTGTAACTAAGTAATCTATACAGGTGGCCCACCACTCACTGACAACTTAAATAACTTTTGATCCAGTTAATATTTTTAGCTGATTTTTTTTTTAAATAATAGTTATACGTTAGGTCTATAGCTATATCTCAATAATTAATTTTTTTACATTTTATTAAAAATATTAATTATTTTTAAATTTTAAATAAAATGTAAAAAAAAAATCTAAGATAGCTATTTTGTAGAGTAGAATTTAAGAAAAATTTTAGTAAAAAAATATCTTATTAATATTGAGTAGTAAATATTCTGTAGCGTTTTGAAGTTTGTGAAATTTTGAATTTTTATGTATTATTTTACGGTATTAAACAATAAATACGTATTGAGAAAAGGACAGAAGAAAACGCTATCTTTTCAATATACTTTTGAATGAGAGTGATAAGTAATAATTGCCTTATCTAATTTCTTATCATGGTATTAATGCCAAGTTTGTAATGTATACACATTATCATCATACACAGTAATCATGAAAAGATAGCGTTTCTTCTGCCCTTTTCTCAATACGTATTTCAATGTTTAATACCGTACAATAATACATAAAAATTCAAATTTTCACAAACTTCAAAACAAATAATGGCCCAAACAAATATTTTTTAATCTCTTTTATTATATTATATAATCTGTAAAATTAATTTGTGAAAAATTTATTTTTGTGTCTTTTACCACTTTTTCTCAGCTCTCACCGAACCGATTTCTTTAAATGATACGTCAAAAGATCACAAATTGTATCTAGTCGAAGACATTACCCTCAAAAATTCTAAAAATTTCAAAATAATATAATATTAATCAAATATTTGCAAATGTCCGCTGAAATTCAACAAAAAATATAATATTTCCGAAAAAAATCAACTTCTATCATGATGTTTTTTGTACTTAAAACTGCCATAACTTTTTGAAAAATTAACAAATTAAAATATTATTTTTTATATTAAAATCTTAGGTATTTTCCTTTTATTTGATATAAATTTTTTGAAAATCTGCCTATAAACCAGTCTATAGGGGGGATTCAACAAGTAATTTTAGCACACAAATTAAGCTTTTTCAATTTAATTTTTGAAAATGTTCCGGAAATATTGACAGTTATATTTAATCTTAAATTAAAATTATGTAATGTACATTACTATGAAAAAAATGAAATTCGAAATATATATTCTATTCTTGGTGAAAAAGGCTACCGTATTCAGAATATGATATTTTTGTGTTCAATTTCTTGGTTTTCTAATTTATTGTATTTTAAAATATCTTAAACTGACTTTCTTTTTGAATTAGAAAAAAAAATTTCAAATTATTTGATTTTTATCTTATTTAAATTCAATAACCAATAAATATCAAGTATCCCATCACTGTAGTCTCCCCTTATAAGATAAAATTTCTTAATCATTTATTCATTTTGATATTAATTTACTATGTGATTATTTTTTTTTGGCTGCGATTTATTTTTCCCACCCTCACTTAATCTACTTTTTTCAAAGATACGTTAAATTATTACAATTCGTATTCAGTTGAAGATATTACCCTCAAAAATTGAAAACAAATCCCTGAATTTAATAAAGAGTAGCTAACCAGCTTTATCCATACAAACAATTAAAATCATTCATTTCTAATATTTTTAAAGTATTTATTGACGAATTAGATTTGATATGATAAAACTATTCAACTATAAAAGTAAATAAGTTTACTTTGTAATTTATTAATTTTAGCTTAGATGCGAAGCTGAGAAAGATTTTACTATAATGTAATTTTTTTTTAAATTTTTTTGTGTCTGTTACCACTTTTCCTCAGCTCTCATCGAAATGATTTCTTTCAACAATACGTCAAAAGATCACAAATCGTATCTAGTCGAAAACATTACCCTCAAAAATTGAAAAACTTTCCCTCGTTCCCCGTAAATGGAGGGAACCTCCAAAAAAAATTACAAATTAAAAATCACTAATTTTCGAAATTTTTTCAATTTTTTTTCTTAAAACTGCTATAACTTTTTCAAAAATGAACAAATCAATATAATTTTTTTTCATAGATGCTTGATGTTATTACCTATCATTTGGTATATTTTTTTATAAAGCTGACCCGTTACCAGCTCACAGGGGGGNCCTATCATTTGGTATATTTTTTTATAAAGCTGACCCGTTACCAGCTCACAGGGGGGATACCAAATGACAACTTTTTCAAAAAAAATTAACTTTTTTAACTTAACTTTTGAGAGTGTTCCGAAAAGTCTGACACTTTTATATATATCTTAAATTAAAGCTAATGTATTTTACTTTATTTGGAAAAAAAAAATTTCGGAATTTCTTTTGTCTTCATGGTGAAAATGCTTACAAAATGCTATTTTTGTTAGAAAATTCTCGATTTTATATTTTACATTTTTTACTTTAAAATGCTATAACTTTTTAAAAAAATGTTTGGATCAACACAATTTTTTCATGAGAGGTAATATTTATATACATCTTTCATTCGATATACTTTTTTTTTAAATCGGACCATATATTTATTTATATATTACAATTATAAATCATAAAACTTGTAATCAGGATATAAATATGGAAATAGGAGATCATGTAGCTTTTGTAGTATTCCACCAATTTTTTTAAATTAAACACTGTCTACAGATTTGCATCGAAGCGTTTTTTGTGATAGTGACTTTAAACACTGTCAGATATCATCTATATTGGACCCAACTATTACACGACCCTACTGTGCCGCTACCTCACTGTGCTGGGTTGTTTTTTTGTATGATTTCTATTGAAGTCAAAGGGTTAATTTTGTAGATTGTGAACATCTTTAAGATTAAAAATAGAAATAAAACACTGAACTGTATAGTAATAACGATACTAATATTTCAGTACTACTAATTCATATAATGACTTAAGTCTAACATGTATAATCACTGAGATACTAGTTACATTCTGTTATAAATAACCGACCGACAAATGCACGAACATATATATTAGAAGTACTCTTGTTCACTTAAAGTTTTAAATTGAGTACGTGTAGAAGAAAATACTAAATATACTCGTCATGAGAGTTTAATAACTTAATATTAGAATAAAAATATTTATTGCATAAAAAAGTATTAAATAAAATTCATCAACAATGATTGAAATAATATTACTAATTTTAAAAAATTCGAACCCGGGATGCCAATCATAGGTATCTTAAGTAAAAAAAAAAGGAGTAAGATGTGTAGAACTTAATATAATTGATATTTATAAGAGGAATGTAATTATAAACAGAAACTAATAAAACATTGTTATTTAAAGACTTAAAATGAGAAGTTGAATTGTATAATATAAGATGAAGTAATGAGCAAGACTATTTAAAATAAATTAAGAAATGCTAAATTTTCCAAAAAATTAAATTCACGAAAGGATAAGTTTAAATTAGCATTTTATGATCTGGATATAAATTTTATAAAATTATCAAAAAAAAAAATTCTTATTTGGTCAAAAATAAATTAGATTATCTAAAGACCTTCTCTTCTGGTTGAGTAGCTAAATAAGTAAGATCTATTACATCTATAAATTTCCTAATTAACAGGACCGCGTTCAAATGAACTAAAATTAAATAATGAAAATTGACTACTTGTAGCTAATATTATTTAAAACTAAAAATATTTTTAATATATCAATATAAAATAAATAAAATGGCCAAGTAACAGAACACCTTAATCCAAATTTAAATTTATAGCAATTTCACTATAAGTTTTTATAGATAAATCATTGGCTACATATAAATTGAATTAAATATTTTGTTTAATTTTTTACAAGTTTAGACATGCATTGNAAATTGAATTAAATATTTTGTTTAATTTTTACAAGTTTAGCCATGCATTACCTTTATGAACTGATAACTGAAGTCAAATGTTTTGCTTCAGTTATGTAAACAAATTAAATAATATTAACAGGTTATAATGTTTTTTAGCTAATCGATACTTTAAGTGTCGCTAATATAATCAGTACAGAGGTAAATACACTTTTATTACAAGAAGTAAAAGATTGCATGGTTCCTATTAAGAAACTTTATGAAGTAACACGAATTATTTTTAACGAAGGTGACGAAATGACTAAGGAAGAAAAAGAAATTGGTAAATATAATAGAATATCCGTTTATAATTGATTTTTTAATAGAGTATATCTCCAAAAAAATTACAAATTTAAAAATCGCTAATTTTTGACATATTTTCAATCCTTTTTACTTAAAACTGCCATAACGTTTTGAAAAATGTATGGATCAATACAATTTTTTTTATAGAAATACGAGGTATTTATCAATCATTTTGTATATTTTTTTGTAAGTTTGGTCCTTTACCTGCCCACGGGGGGCAATTCAAAACGACAACTTATTTGACAAAAAATTATATTTTTCAACTTAACTTTTGAAATTGTTCCGGAAATACTGACACCTTTATATATATCTTAAATTAAAGCTAATGTAATATACTTTATTATAGAAAAAAATTTTGGACTTATTTTGTCTTCACAGTGAAAATGGCTACCAAATGCTGTTTTTGTTAGAAAATTCTCGATTTTATATTTTAAATGTTTAACTTTAAAATCCTATAACTTTTTAAAAAATGTATTGATCATTATAATTTTTTTATAAGAAATACTATTTATATATATCATTTCTTATACCTTTTTTTTTAAATCGAAACATTTTCCTTTACACGAGGGTTGTTTAAAAATTAAAAATGCGTATAATAAGTAGACCTTTTAAACTTATTTTTAATTAAAATGTATTTTTTGGTTATTCATATGTAACTTAATATATGAACATTAGGGTGACCCTTATTTATAAAATTTAAAAATTACACAGTGCCACCCCCTAAAATTATTCGAATACATGAAAAAATAAATTGTACAAAATTTGGAACTATTGGTCAACTCTAAGACGTGCCCCAAGGGGGTTAAAAATAACCCCCCAAGGGTGATTTTTTAGTTTTTTTTGTCTAT